CTTTCTTTCTTTCTTTCTTTCTTTCTTTCTTTCTTTCTTTCTTTCTTTCCAGTGGCTTTGGCTCCACAATTCAGAAAACAAAAATCAAGTAAGAAAAGTTGCATATTCTCTTAATTCACATAATTTGTAAGGAGCAAGAATATGAAGGAGTGCTGCTAGGACCAACCTTCTGACATTGAGATGGGATGTTGTGGTTACCAAAGTTCACGCCTGAAAACCATATAGTCAAGCTAAAACACACACACACACACACACACACACACAGAGAGAGAGAGAGAGAGAGAGAGAGAGAGAGAGGAGAGAGGAAAAAAACACAATGTTCTAAGTCTGAGATTTTACGTCAAAGTAAATTCCCGGCTACTTTGAGTCCACACAGACCAGTGCTGCAGGACGGACTTTTCTCAAACTAGCCTTCATTTCTGCACACTTGTTCATCGACAGACACTCTGCTTCCTAAAACACAAGCAGTCTTAGGATTCCAGAGCTGATGGGGAGATTAGCCTTTTATACCTGTTTGAAAGCCCACTTCCTCTGTCTCTATGAAATCAGTTCAAACCTCTGGGAAACTGAGGCCAAGAGCAAAAGCTCCTGAGCTCTGAAACCCCAGAGCCCAGCCTCTTAGTTCCCGCTCTATGCAAACAGAAAATTTAATTAATGTGTCTGGGGAAACAGATTTGCAATGAGTTACTCAGCCATCATCTCATTCCTTTCGCACCATGGTTCTGGATGCTCACGGATGCCCCCACCCCCGTATGTTTTCGTGTGGTTGGAGGGGGCAGTCGTGAAAGCCACACTTGCCATGTTGTTTGTGAGCAGGAACGTCTGTGGGCTTATTTACCGAGCTCCCAACAATCAGCTGCTTTGTCACGCATTTCAAAGTGGGGATAATTTAAGAGTCCTGCATTTCATACATAAAAATACTCAGTAAGGAAGTCTCTCTGCATGGCATTGGGTGACAATGTTCCACCCAAATTCCAATTTGTTGCCCAGGAAATGATTCACCTCAGTCCAAAATGACAGGCAGGCCCTCTGAATCATTCACCACTTGCAAAGAACCTCTCCATTGGCCCACTGGAACCATCAACCCACAAACACCTCTTTGCAGAGATCAGGGTTCCAAGGCCAGCCAAGCCTTCCCCTTTGTCCCTCCCCTCGTTCCCCTCCCCCCACCCTGTCCTACCTTTGAGTAGTTTCTCTCCTTCCAGGACATTCGGGGAGATCAACGCAGTGTAGTCTTCTTCGGAGAAGCCAGCCTTACAGGCCTCTCTGACTGTAAGATCCTCACGGTGGGCCTGGGGATGGAAGGGAGAGTGTGAAACCAAAATAAGTTCACAGAAATTTAATCCAACCCACATTCGACACGGCCACTTCACCAGCCTCTGGCGGAGAAGTGCAGCTAAACCACCATCTCCACCCAGAGGTGGTATTGGGATCCTCAGGTTTCTGGGAGACTTCGGGTGGTATTAGCCCAGGCTGTGAGTACCTTCCTGCACTGGGCAGACAGCTGCTCCTACCTCTGTGGGAAACACCAGAGGGGCCTTAGTGGCATACGGCGGCGGGGCGGGGGGGCGGGGGGACGACGCAGAGAGGTGCCTAGGAGAGGCTGGTAAGTAGGAATAGCAGGCTTTACCAGTGGTTCACCATCCACAGGCAAAACCAGGCCCCTGGAGACAGAGGGGGCTCTGCTAAGAACCATCTCTCCAGGCTGCAGAGTTCTGCCTTCAGGCTAGGTGAGGAGGAGGCGGCCTCCCTCTGCAGGCTACAGGGGTGGAGTTCCAAGAAAGGGAGCTGGCAAATTCAGAGATTCCAGGGCTGTTTCCAAGCTGAGCAAAGAGTGACCAGTTCTCCCAGTAGGCTGCAAGAAGGCAAGGTGCTCCGTGTGTGTGTGTGTGTGTGTGTGTGTGTGTGTGTGTGTGTACTTTTGTTCATTCTGCAGCCCCATTTAAAGCCTAGCCAGGAGAGAGGGTTTCCCTAACTGACCAGAAGAGCTTGTTTTCTGCTCCTTTGGAGTCTAGACCTGTAGAGAAGAAAAGGCAGTGGGCAGGGGTTTCCACCCAAGCTGCCAGGACCCAGGGGAGATAGCCCGTGTCTCCCACCAATCCAGTCCACTACGGAGAAGGAGCACCAGGCGCCCTGTCCTTGGTGAGCAAGCTCTGGGAGCCACGGGCGGCGGACGCAGCAAGCATCCCGCAGTCTAGGCTTCGCGGGCCGCCGGAGCGGAACGCGCCTCCCCGCCGGCCGAGTCCTCCAGCTGCGCGCAACCGCGCCGCCCGGGTTCGGCCCGGGAGGCCACCCGCAGAGCCCGCCGCCTGTAGCTCGGGCTTGGCACTCGGTCCCGGAGGCTGGGAGACAGGGTGGGCAGGGTCGGGAACCTTCCCCGGGCCAAGCTCAGGATCACGCCCAGCTCTCGGGGACCGCGGCCACGAGATGCACTCTCAGCCCGCGGGAGGCGAAAGTCGGCCGGGAAAGTTTCTGTCCTCCCGGGGCGTGTTCCCCGCGCACGGCGACAGTCCGGTGGCCTAGGGAGCGGGGCGGTCGCCCGCCCAGGTCCAATCGCGGAGGTTACCTCGGCGCGGCTGAGAGCAGGCCACCGGACCGATCGGCCACGAGAGGGGGTTCGGGCCACTCGCTCCCCGCCCGGGGTCGCCGCGGGAGCTGCGGCAGAGGCCCTCGCAGCGAGCCGGACCCCTCGGCTCGAGCCGGCTGGAGAGAGCGCGGAGACGGTGCGGGGATGACAGCGCGGCTGTCCAGCCCCAGTTCCCGGGCTCCCGCCGCGCCCTCTCCTCGGTCCCCCTCTAAGTAGGGGAGGACACGCCAGACAGCACGGCTACAGAGCCCGCGCCCCGTTGTCGCCTCCTCCTCCCACGGCAGCCGCGCTCCGCTGCACCCACGGGACCCCGGGCGAGCGCCTGGCGCAGCCGACCCGACCCCGGCGCGGGGCTGGAACTCTGGATGCCGGGCTGGGCTTGCCGAGCGGCGGAGGCGAGATGGCCAGGCTCAGGAGGGCGGCCCCGGAGCGCAGATCGGGCGGCCGAGACGACACCCCGGGTCCCGCCCGCTCCGCCCCGCGGCGCCCGGCTCCGATCGCGGGCGGCTCCGCACAGCAGCGGCGGGCGGCGGGATTGGAGAGGACGGGGAGAGAGCCCAGCTAGCCCCACCGCCTCCCCGGGACCGTCCGCGAGCGAGGAGGCGCCAACTTACCCGGAGCGCGCCCGAGAGCCCGAGCAGCAGCAGCAGCAGCAGCGGTAGCGGCAGCGGCGGCAGCGCGGAGCCCGTGGTCATCGTCCCCCCGCTGCGCCGCCCCGGCGCTCGCCCGGTGCCGGCTTCCCCCGCCGCGGCGGTGCTCCGCCCGCGCCCGCCCTGCTGCTCCCCGCGCTCGCCGCCCGGCCTCCGGGAGCCAGGCCAAGTGGGCCCGCGGCGGCGCTCTCCCTCCGGCCGGTGCGTTCGCCGGCCTCGCAGCCGCCCGCGCCTCTGGACCGCGCGCTCCGAACTGCAGGTGAAGCCGCGCGGCGGCCTCGCCGAGGCCCCGCCCCTCCGGCCGGGCTTGACGCGGCCCTTAAAGGAGCCGCTCCTGTGGCCCGCTCGCGAAGCCTGCGGCTCTGCTTGCTCGCTGGCTGGCTGGCCTCAGCCCCGTAGGACATCTATAGCCCGGTTTGAGCAGAAGTGGCCCCGGGACGCGCGGTCTCTAGGGGCGAAGGCTGTGTGGACTGAGTAGGGCACTGGGATCTCCGTCCCCAAGTTAGATGTCGTTTGTAGATGGTGGGATCTGCCACCCTCCACCCGCACACCGCGCGTCTCCGGATCACACCTTGGTCCTAGGTCGACTTCTTTTCAGAGCCCACCGTGAAGAGTGGACACTTTCCTCGGCCCCCGGGCCATCTAAGTCCCCCGACATAGGCTTTTGTGATAGCCTCCAGCCTGCAGAGCAGCTCAGGAGTGTACCTAGGGAGGTCAGAAGAGAAGGGAGAAGGGAGGGGCCGGCAGGGCTAGGATGACCCCTTACAGTGAGTGTGGGTCTGGCTCTTGGCCACACTCCAAGGTTTGGCGGGGTGGGGGGGGTGTCTCTGTTCATCCCTGTTTGTGAGCCAAAACGCAGTTAGGCCTGAAAAGGCAAGGAAGAAATCAGAGGCCCCGGGAAGGAAAGAACTCCAGCAGGCAGAGCTGTCAGGCCCGTCAGCTCCCTGGGCAGGCCAGCTCCATTTGCTTCGCATGGGCAATTTCCAACCCTGTCTGCGGGCATTTCTTTAAGGATTATATCTCTCCAGCTGAAAAATAAGGGCAGCTTGGACCATGAGTGAAGGCTTCCCCATCTCTCCCTTGGCTAAGCAATGTAGAGAAAAGTAGAATGTTTGCTCAGATATTTCTCATGTTCTTTGTCTCTCTTCGGAGGGAATCTGTGTCTAGAATACAGTAGTTCTGATTTGAGAAGAGTGAGTGAGATTGCCCCAAGGTCAGAATCAGCTGGAGCCTAGACAGAGCGACCCTTTCCCTCTTCCCCCCACCACCCCCGTGATGGATGACACCCTAGACTGCTGGCTGACATGCTGGCTAGCACTCATGTCATGGGAAGTTAGGTCTGGGTAAATCTCGGTGCACGGTGGGCTCTGTCCAAGGCTGTGAGGCTGGGTTTGGCTCTACTGCCAAGTATCTGAGCACCAAGCCTGTGCCAGCCTGCCCCTGTCCCACAGCTTGTCCCACCGTTGGCCTGCCAGGGCACAAGGGAGTCTACTAACTTGACATGGCTGCCTGGGCCATCTTCAGACTCTGTTGTGTGGCCTTTTCTGAGGAGACAAAGAAACATTCACCCCCAGATAGAGAGGTATCTAGACCGAAAAAAAAAGACTTGAGTGTGGCCTGGTGAATCAGTGAGCTAACCTGGGCTACTTGCAGGAACACGGGGGCCTGGAGGAGACAGCTACCCTATATGGACTCAGACCCTACTTACAATCAGGAAGAGACAGGAGCAAATCCTTCTGGAGGATTCCTTTCTGCAGCTGGTGCAGGTGTCCCTTGAGGCATCACCCTGTGGGACACACCCCATCCTGGCCAGATGACATCAGTTTGCTGGGCTCTCCTCTGTTCTGTGTTGTACTGAGATGCCACCATGGGGGCCACTCCGAGTTATCAGCAAGCCTAGGCATAAAGCAGTAGACAGTTCCCGGAAGAGCACCTCCTCTCTCCAGCTTATGCCGACTTGGGGGGGGGGGGAGTAGCTCCAGGGAAGCTGGTGGGTCCTTAGCACACTGTTGCCTATGGTTAAGGGCCGGAGAGGTTTGACCCTCCAGACATGCATTATGACTTCCTGACAGAGCTTGCCTGTCCTGGCATCAATCAGCCCTACTGTGAGTGCAGGAGCATTATGTAAATTAATCTACCCCAGGGGTGCAGTTGTAAGGGTTCCCATTATAAGGCCCGGCAGAGGAAAGTCTAGAGAGTTCATGTACCAGAAGCTGGCTACCAGCATACAGACCCCAGGACCCCTGGCATGGGCAGCATTCCCCAAACTTACTTATCGGAGGAGTCAGCTTCGGCATCTTACAGGAACCTACGTTTCCAAGAACATGGCTCAGAAGCGTTGCAGTAACCCATGCGAGTCCAGCAGAGAGCATTGCTCTGTCAGGCTTGTTCTGAGGGAAGCGGAGAGGGCATGCTGAGACAGGCAAACACAAAGCAGCCCTTCCCAGGGACCGTCCTAGTCTGTCTCTTGCAGTCTAGTTGGCCACATGACCAAAGGAGCTTGCTTAAAAATATGATTCCTTGGTCCCCTCACCCACTATTCCCAACTGAAACTCACAGGAGACACACACACACACACACACACACACACACACTCACACACTCACACTCACACATTCACTCACTGCATTATACCCAGGAGGTAACATGCAGGTCCCGAATGGAAACGCACAGTCCCCAAGCTCTGTCCGAATCAAGCAACACTGCCTTCTTCCCTTCCTTGATTTCTTCCTTTCTTCCTCCCTCCTTCCTTTCCTTTTCTATTTTAAGGCCCAGGTTGACTTTAAACTGTCACCGATCCTGCCTCAGCCTCTTGTGGGTAGGGATTACAGGGGCGAGGCAATATTATCTGTTCCTTAAGCTCCTCTCCCTCTCTTAATACCCATATTAAAATCTTTCATAAAAACCTTTTTTTCTTAATTCTCTGTCTTTGCTTCATACAAACAAAAAAGAGCCTGGCATCATCAATGCTGGCCAGGCAATAGATCTTAGACCCTTGGACCTCTGTATTTAGCAGCCTCCCTTGCGGACAGCAACACAGACTAACATTTGAACCACAGACATTGATTCCATAGACATTGCTTCCCATGGAGAGCCTGGACCAAGGAGCCTCATGGCATGCTGCTTCCTGGGCCTTGGGTTCATTGTTTGAGGTTCTGTGTGTAAAAGATGAAGCTCTGGCCTACCATTGCTGGCTAGTCCTGCATGGGGAATTCACTGGGACTTCAGAACCTGGGTAAAGGGCCCTCGAGGGAAATACACTCTCGTTCTGAAGAAAACTTTAGAAAAGGCATGGGTAGGCAGCATTGGCATGACTGATTTCAACACCAGAAAAGCTGGGCACTCTTCTATACCTCTCACCGGTTGGGGTGTCTGGCAAGGGGTTTCAGCTTCCTCAAGTCAAAAGCTGGCAGATCTGACTTCTGTGTTTGTGGTTTTGCAGCCCCCACCATTTTTCTCCCTCTCTCTTCCCTTCTCTCTCCCTGTTTATGCAGGTACATATACATGTATGTGTGGATGTGGAAGAGTGCACATGTATGGAGACCAGATGTTGATGCCAGGATCTTCCTCCATTGCTCTCCACCTTTTGGATATTGTCAGGGTCTTTCACAGAACCTAGAGTTCGCTGATTCAGCTAAGCTGGCTGTGCAGTGAGCCCCATCTTGTCTCTCAGGGGCTCCTATCACAGACACATGTTACCATAGGTGTCTTTTTGAGCAGGTGCTGGGCCTCCAGAATCAGGCCCTCATGCTTTTGTGGCAAGCATGTTAATGACTGAGCCATCTCCCCAGCCTGTATTTATCATCATCTTTTAGGCACCTCAGTGTTAAATGAAAGAGCTGTCATGTAAGGAAGGCAGAGTTAGCAAAAACTGTGTTCATAAAACAAAGCCAGGTCCTTGGGGGAGGGTTGTTGAGAGTATTTGAGGCAGAATGGGAAGGGATGGAATCTACCTGCTACAATCTACCTGCTACTGCCTCCTGAAAGCCTCTTTGCACAAAGGACAGACAATTCTTAAGGGAAAAAGCAAGAGAGATTTGGAGAGGGAGTGAGAGAGAGAGAGTGAACATGGCACAAGTAGCTCTTTTTCCATGAGTGTAGCGTCACTTACCTGCCTGGCCGAGCTTCCCTGGGAATAAGAGGGATGAGGCATCCTTGCACTGTCTGAGTTTTCATAGTCCAGCTGCTCTTTCCCTTCAGTATCCATTGTCACTTACAGCCTGCCAAGCCTTGCCGTGTAAGCCTTCAATCTTGCAATCTTGGTGTCCCACAAGAAAAAGACTTTCATATGTGGATGGCCTATCACGGGCCATTGGCAGATATTCTCTCACTCGCCTGCAACTTTCGGCAATTCTCCTGCCTCAGCCTCCCCAGTGCTAGGACTATAGACGTGTCCCACTGTACCCAGCTCCATGCTGAGATTCTGCAACAAGGAGCAGTGGGACCTGGACAGGTGCTTGGCAGCCAGGATGCCCCCTGCAGCAGAGACTGAAGGAGGCAAAAGGAAGGTAGGCAAGTCCTGGCTGCCCATCTTCTCTCCCTTTGACCTCACATCCAGCCTGACTACAGCCAGTTAGGAGTTCAGAAGCCATGCCAGGCCTCACTCTGCACCTTAGCACCTTCCCTCTGGTTGGCATTGCTCTTTTCCCTGGAGCAGGAAAGTATTTGGTGGGCCATCATACCTGCCTCTCATTCTGCACTGCAGCAGACATTTGTGTATTTTCTCCATGGTCCCTCAAAGAGCATAGAGGATAGGGACATAAGATGTCCACTCACCCCTCATGCAGGCCAGATTCTCACCTAACAGACACTTCCAGTGATGTTGGCTGTGTATGCTGTTCTGGCACACGTCCCAACATTCCATTTTGCAGAGGAAGAAACTGAGGACTGAAGCTAGCAAAGGAGCTTAGACTGGGACCTCATGATGCCTCAATCTACTCATGCCATTCATTAGCCTCAACACTGTGACTTTTGCCGGGGCCATGGGAAGGGACAGAGGATGTTGGAAGTATTGGTGCAGTACTGTCAAAAGGGAAAAGTCAGAAGGAAGCTGTCAAAGCGAGCAGCTGTCAGAGTAGACAGGCCTGCCGGGGAG